CTGAGTTGGAATCTCCCCTTCCACTGACTCTTCTTCCAGGGGAAAATCTTCTATTGTTTCCTCATTTTCTCCCTGTGTTGGGAAAATTAATTTTTTCTTAAACTCCACCTGCTTTGAAGCACCATCAGTTTATTTGACATATTCAAATGTCACCTTATCTATTATGGCAGATTCATCAAAGGTAACATCTCTGCTGAATATAACTTTTCTTGTCTCTGGACACCATAATCGGTATCCTTTGACTCCAGAAGTAATCCCCATAAATATAGCTTTCTTTGCCCTCGGATCCAATTTTGACTCTTTCACATGATAATATGCAATTGAGCCAAACACATGTAAAAAAATTATAATCTTCAGCAGGTTTTCCATACCATTTTTCAAATGGTGTCTTGCCTCCAATAGCGGCAGATGGTAGACGATTAATGAGGTGGCATGCATATGTTATTGCCTCAGCCCAAAATTCTTTGCCCAAGCCAGCATTGGACAACATACACCGAACCTTCTCCAGCAAAGTTCGGTTCATGCGTTCTGCCACTCCATTCTGTTGTGGTGTATTTCTGACGGTGAAATGTCTCAAAATGCCATCATCTTCACAAATCTTATTGTAAAGATCATTTTTGTATTCTCCACCGTTAACTGTGCGAAGACACTTTATCTTTCTGCCTGTTTGAGTCTCTATCATTGCCTTCCATTTGAGAAAAATTCCCAGCACCTCATCTTTGGTTTTCATAGTATACACCCACACTCTCCGGGAAAAGTCATCAATAAAGGTTACAAAATAGTGTTTCCCACCTAATGAAGGTGTTTTGGAAGCACCCCAAACATCAGAGTGAACATAATCCAAAATACTTTTAGTATTATGGATTGCTGTTCCAAATTTAACCCTTGTTTGTTTTCCCTTAACACAATGCTCACAAAACTCCAAATTTCAAGTCTTTACTCCTTTTAACAATCCTTGATCTAATAAAATCTTTAAGGATTTTCCTCCAGCATATCCCAAGAGCATGTGCCATAGCTTGGTTGCTTCTGCCTCCTTGTCATCACTGGATATCACTGTTGCTGTCCCAATAACTGTATTACCGCGATAGTGGTACATGTTATTATTTCGCCGGATTCCCTTCATTACCACTAGTGCACCAGAGCATATTCTCATTACCCCATTTTCTGCAACGACTTTGAGCCCCTTTGACTCTAGGGCTCCTACATAAATGAGATTTTTCTTCAATTTCGGTACGTATCGAACATCTGTTAATGTTCTGATCAATCCATCATGGTTCCTTAATCGGATTGAACCAATACCATATGCGGTAAGAGGATTGTTATTTGCTGTGTGAATAACTCCACATTCTCCTTCTTGAAAATCAACGAACCAGTCCTTGTTGGGACACATATGATAGCTACAAGCTGAATCCATCAGCCATATGTCAAATAGTTTGAATGGCTCAGTTGTAACTAGAGAGAAATCAGAGTCGTCACAATCAGCTACATTTGAATCCATGACAGCCTTTTCATTATTAGGTTTGGCCTTGTTTTTCAACTTTGGACAGTCTTTCTTCCAATACCTCTTTTCTCGGCAAAAGGCACATTTATCTTTGCTGGGTCTGGATCTTGACTTGGATCTTTCTTTCTTCGTTCTCATATGATTTTGAGAACGACCTCTCGCGACCAGTGCTTTTCCTTCTCCACTCTTTTGTTTTTCTCTCTTTCTTTATTCATAGCTGTACAAGGCAGAACAAACTTCTTTGAGAGACACTTCATCATTCCCATAAAGTAGAGTAGTTTCGAGGTGCTCGTACTCATCGAAAAGTGAACTTAATAACATTAAGGCCATATCTCCATCACTAAAAGTCACGTCCATATTCTGCAAATCTGTCGCCAACTTATTAAAGCTAGTGATATGATCATTCATTGTAGTACCATGAACATATGTGAAGCGTAACAGTCTTTTTTTCATGTAAAGTTTATTTTGACTGTTTTTCTTCAAGAATTTATCTTCCAACGCATTCCACAATTTACTTGCAAAAGTTTCTTTTGTGTATGGATACTCCTGTTCTCTTGCGAGGTAAGATCGAATGGTACCACAAGCAACACGGTTGATAATCTTCCAATCTCCTTCTCCGATATTGTCTGGTTTATTTTTTTCTATGGCAATATCTAGCCCTTGTTGAAAAAAGACATCAAGAACCTCAGCTTGCCACATCCCGAAATGTCCTGACCTGTCAAAAATTTTAACTGCAAATTTCGCATTTGACATAATTCTTGTCATAAGCGAAGATGCCAACGACGTATTACTGACACCCGATGTGGACTCTTCATTTTTATTATCTCCCATTTTGCTATAGATACTATTTATTTGCTGACAGTACAGAACATCAAAGTAATTCTTTTCTGATGTGGAAGTTCAGACTATGCTGCAACTACAGAGCATACTAAGATAGAACTTTGGCTCTGATACCAATTGTTGCGAAAGCCGAATATATAGAGAGTGATTAAATCACAACTACTATATCTAAAGGTAGCTA